CCCAAAACCCCCAAAACCCCAAAACCCCAAAACCCCAACAACTCTTGGAAGGATTGAAGTTATTAAAAATCATAATTAATTATATTTTTGTCGGCTCGTTCTGGAGGACTTCTTCGGGCTGTTTCTATCAGAGCTTAATGCCAGGGCACTGCCTCCATTGTAGCTGAAACCATCAACTGTAAGCATAAGGTTTTCTCACCTAGAGAGTTCATCGAATTTGTGGTTTTCTGCAAGGAGGGTTGACTCAGGTTTGGACACACCTGTCGATTTGTATAACTCAGATTGCTCGTCAAGAATCTCAAGCTCTTCAACTTTGGTCTTGCGCTTGATCACATTAGACCAATTTGTTTTTCCGAAGAAAGGATGCGTCATAATATCCCCTGAATCATCTTGGCCAAGTCTTTCATGAGGATCTCTCTTCAGGAGACTCTGGATCAAATCCTTGGCTTCCACGGTACATGAATCTTCAGGGATTTTAATATCTTCTTCTGTGACAGATTTGAGAACCTGGGATAGGCCAGATTCTTCAAAGGGTAACTTCCCTAAGAGCATCTCATATAGGATGATTCCAAGGGTCCACCAGTCCGATAGATACGTTGTTTGATCATCCTTTATCGACTCAGGGGCCATATACTTGATGGAATCCATAATGTAGTTGGACTCATCCTGCTTAAAAACAAGTCTAGTCGAGCTAAAGTCTGTTAGCTTGATATTATTATTACTATCAAACAGGATATTCTGTGAGGTAAGGTCGCCACAGACAACTTCTATCTGATGCAAGTATTCAAGGGCAAGGATAATCTCTGCAAGGATGGCTTTAGCAGCATTTTCATGAAGCTTGCCTTCCCTTTTTATCATACTTTTTAATGTGCCTCCCTCCAGATACTCATAAACAAAGAATAAGTTGCATTTTGATTGGAAGGAAAACTTCAGTGATGCGATAAAAGGGTGGTTTAGACTAAGCAATAAGTGTCTTTTCTCAATAATCTGATCACGCATTTCATCATCAATAGTAATAGGCTTGTGGATGGACTTCATTGCATATTTTTGCCCGTCTTCTTTATACCTGACGAGGATTACCTGTCCAAGAGACCCTTTGCCAAGCTTATTTTAAAATCTCAAAGCTGCTTAATTTATCTTTAGTTTTCTTCTTACGGCCGATAATGTCAAGGAAGTCAGTCTGCCCATTATCTTTGAAAGTCTCGTTCAGAATTTTCTCATTTTTATCATAAATTGTCTCAGAATTGAGAGGAGTCAGGTCGAGCATGAGGGAACTCATCCTCTTTTCTTTGTTTGATCTTGAGCCAATACTCCTGCCCTTTGGAGATACTCATGCAGGCTGCTTTGCTTTTGAAGTCAGGCAATTACCCATTTTATATTATATTTAGCTACGATAGATATGGGGTTTTGGGGTTTTGGGGTTTTGGGGTTTTGGGG